GCAAATGTCACAATTTATTGATTCAGAAATAAAGCAAAGTGAGGGTGGCAAAGATTAATTTCTAATTTCCCCTTCCTCAAATCTAGACGATACTACAGAAAAATGCCTCAGAAATGTGCTCAGGTAATCTATTACACAATTTTAACAAAAACACAGGGCTGTATACTCTCTTCCCTGTTTCAACCGCTCAGGGGAAAACCATTTGCACAGGTTAGTTCAAGAGCCAGGTACTGTGAGCAAGAGCTTGGTTGCAACCAAGGTTCATCTGTGACAACTGATGGCCTTGCCACTCAGTCACACCACAGAATTGGACAACATTAGAGCTGGATCACAAAAAGTAACTAAAGGCAAAGACTGTTTTCTATTTCACAGTGTAAGCCCATATCCTTGCACACGAAATAAGACATCTGAATTGAATGAGAAAAATGAAGCCAGAGTCATGAAGGAGATTACTGCCCCAGGCCAGGGTCATACACTCATCAGTGGCAAAACTGGGAACACACTGAAATTCCCTGTGCATCTTTTTCCCACCTCCCTTGCTCTGATCTTCTTTTTCTTATTCGCTTAAAACTTTCCCTTCAGGTCAGCCCCTAGTAACCTACAGAGAATATCAGACATCGGGCAGGGTCAAACATATTGGTAATCTCTAAATCTATTCAAAACCTATTTTAAAATAAAAACAAATGTTTCCAACATCTTACTCATTGACTTCCAGGTCCTGGTCATCAGAAGATTCATCTTCTAGGAGATTTTCAGAATCTGGTTTCCGAATAAGAAAGAACAGAACTGTTCCCACAAGGCTAATCACCGTTAGGGCAATAAACACTGTTCTTCGGTCACTCTCTAAGGAGAAAAAAGAAGAAACTAGCCAACGCTGGCCAAATAATTCCAGAATTAGTATTATGCCCAGGGTTGCTTATAATCATCAAACTGCTTCCTCATTTTTACTTTAATGCATCAATAAAAATTTAGGATGAGGAGATAAACAGGATACCTCCACCTTTGTCTTTCAGTTAGAGTAACACTAATAAGCCAAAAGAAAAATAGCATAATAGCTTAATCATGTTCTCTCAACCCAAGAAGTGTACAGAAAAAATAACCAAGCATTCAGAAGTCTTCTGATGACTGACGAGTACACTCGCACAGAGCATAACCTCTCGTATACCTTCAGACACCACTTGGAGCATAGGCATAAACTATAATCCCAGTTTAATACGTAGTAATAATGATCCGAGGAAAAGGCTTACTGCAAGCTAAAATCTAAGAGGATTTAAGGTACCAAGGTTCATCAGAATAATGTTTGAATAAAGCAATAATGGATATTTCTATAGAACTGCTACTGTGCTCTGCCAACATATCCAAATAAAGCAAAGCGAATAAAACAAACCTGATATTTGAGTTTTCCCTTGCCAGGCAAAATATATGTACAGATTTCCAAAGAACAAACTGGGGGAGAAAAGGGAGAAGAAGATGTCGGGACATTATTTTAATATTTATGGTTTTTAAAAAATAATTATTCTCATTAATTAAAAGAGAGGTACATAATTTTTAAAGTATCTACCTGCCCCAGGACATCAAAAAGTATCAACTCCACCCTGACTCTGAAAACTTAACTGACCCAGATGAAATTCAGTCGCCTTCCATGTGACAGTAACCTGATTCAGAAACTCACTTCAGAGAAAACTTGACTCACATTGAAACATGTGATTTAAACGTAACTCTGGAAATGACTTTTTGGAAACAAATTTATGCTACTTAAAAAAAAAAAAACTCAATTTAAGATTATTGAGAGACCAGGTCAAATGCTTTGGAGAAAAATTCTAAATTAAAAGAAAAAAAATCTATGGAGGCAAGAGAATTGCATGAGCCCAAGAGTTTGAGGTTGCTGTGATGCCATGGCACTCTACCTTGGGTGACAGCTTGAGACTCTGTTTCAAAATAAATAAATAAATAAAATAAATTAAAAAAAAAAAAACTATGAAAAAAATCCATGATTTAGTTATCTGCAACTAATCAGATACTTTATTTAACATACTTTCCTAGAGAAGAAATCATTCATTTATACTCCTGTTTCTTATTACATAACCTTTAAAGCTACACATTTGCATTTGTTAAGCCCTGTGAATACGATTTTAAGCAGCATTCATTTGGGTAACTCCTCAGGACAGTCTGAAATCCAACAGTCATAAGCAGAATGATTGCTTTTGCTTCTTTCTTAAGAAATATGTAATATGCTCTATGGTTTAGTAGTAGGGTAATTATAGTCTCACTATGTTGCCCTCGGTAGAGTGCCTTGGTGTCACAGCTCACAGCAACCTCAAACTCTTTGGTTTAAGCGGTTCTCTTGTCTCAGCCGCCCAAGTAGGTGGG